GGAATAATGTGTCTTGAGTTGAAATGGAGAGATCAGAAGACAGGCATAAGTACTGGAAATCTTTGGAAATATTAGCAGACTCATTGTGAAAGTGAAAACCTGCTGGTCACATTTTTGTGAGCAAACCCTCTATAGTTCAACTCGTTTGGAGCTATTATTACCTCTTTACTTGAATCTACATGGTGTCTTTATTTTATTATAATATGAGCCTATGTTCTATATTGAATTATTCTTTGTTAGAATATCACTTGTGAGTTGTCCTACATCGTTCATACATGGAAAATAGATCGAGCACCGGAACCAAGCTAAAAATTTGATTAGTGTACTTTGTTTATATTGGTTTTTATTAGGACAACTTGTTATCATACTCTTATCTCGCAACAAATTTGTTCCTATATTAAGCTCATGAGTGAGCTCCATGACCAGATCGAGCACCGGAACCAAGCTAATACTCTCTCAGACCGGTCGAACCCGAGCTAAATACTCAAGCCGGTCCATCAAGCTATTTTGGGTTCTATATCAACACTCTCTATTCTTGTTTAGTTATTTGTTGGGTATTTGAATTGTGTAAATGAATTGGAGTTGCAAGTGTCTGTTCAAAGTGACAAGAGGTGCACAAAGGCCATAATAATAATACTGTTAGCATCGTACATAAATTGAACAGCTTATAATTTTAGGTGTATAAGGATGGTTATGGTTAATGGAAAATGAGAATAATAATCAATAATTGTACTGAATTGTGCTTTTTATCTCACATCTCAATGTACAACATGAGTACATATATATAGTTGGTCTTTGGAGGTCGATTGAGGTGCACTCTCAACATGTCAAATAAACACATCATTAATGTGAGTTTTAATGTGGTTATCTCATATTTTGGGTAAATGCAAGATAAATACCTACTACTATAATGTATTTAGTGCTCAGTCCTAGCCTAATGATTTTACTCTGCACTCCCTATTCACTACAAAAAATTTGGCATATTCCAACGGAAAATCCTATGTTTATATATTCCAATGAAAATTTCAACGGATATTCTAATGGTATAGCTTGGAATGATTCCAACAGAAATATTCCGTTAGAATGTGTCGTTCATTTAAATTTTAGATGGAATTTGATGATTCCAACGGCTATATTTCTAATGAATTCTTACCGTATGAATTTCCACTGGAATATGTAATTTCGGTTGGAATTTTATTTCCACTCCTGTTGGAAAATCCACCGTTGGAATCGTCAAAATCCAACGAAAATTTCAATGGAATACTCATTCCAACAGATTTTTTTTTTAATTTCTGCTGGAATCCATTGAAAAATTCCAACGATAGCATTGAAATTGCTGTTGAAATAATTTTATTGGAATATATTTTTGTTGGAATTTCATCATTGTCTTGTTGTGATTACATTTGTCGAATATATTTCCGTTGGAATTTCATCATTGTCTTGTAGTGATTACATTTGTCTCTTTCCTCTTAACTCCCCATATAAATACTAGTACTATTATTATTCATTTGTTTTACCTAAATATAAACT